CCGGAGGGTTAGGTAATTTACCGAATGACCAAAAAGATTTCGGGTAATGAGCAGGTGTTCCAGAAATTATGAAAATAGCTGTAATTGAATTTCTTTCCGGCACCTTTGGCGTGCCGGCATTATTCCAATAACATGACCAATCGTACCTATGTTTTTCGAACGGGTTTTTTTTATGAACACAAAGATGATATTAAAAAAATTTTTAACGATCGAACGGGGGTTTTTTTTTATGAACACAAATGATATTAAAAATGATTATTTAATGAACCTGAAACTTTTTTTATTGTTATAATCTGGCTAATCTTGCATTAATAATTGACCTGCGTTATTACTATACGTGAGGTGTGAATAATGCTTAAAATTAGTAAAAAATGTGACCTGACCAACATTTAGGCGAATATTATGCTTTATAATAATAGAAAAAATAGCCCGTCTAATATTTTGTTGGAGGATTTAGTTACAATATAATGAAAAGTATTTAATGTTAATATAAAATTTCTTATAAATAACCAAACAATTTCATTTTTCTTTTCATTTTTTAACAAGCTTTTTTTATAGATAATGAAATTCAATCTCATCATTGTATGGTCCACTCTTTTCTTCACGACTGCATTGGCAGTCCAGAACCCTGATGGTATTATTTCTTATAACAATATCTTAATTACATGATATGAAAGGCATAATTTTTGATTTATATTTTTATTAAAGAACGTAATACTAGATCTATTAATCTTCATCGCAGAGGTTATGAATGTAAATTTATATATATTTATATATATATATAATTGATTATTTATTACCTAACATTTCAATTATTAATTTTTTATAAATTTTTTCTATTTTATATAATCTAGATAATGATTATTACAGGCCTTTTCATGGAAGATATAAGAAGTACAGTAAGCATAGTCATTTTCATGAAAAGCATGGTCATGAAAGGTTTGGCGAACTCTATTTTCACCATCCTGGTCATAAATTCTATCCTTATGGCCACAAAAGACATTTTGGACATCACTATGGCCATAAATTGCATCATTATGGACGTCATTTTGGACATTTTGGACATCACTATGGCCATAAAAAGCATCATTACGGACATCATTATGGTCATTATTATCCTAAAAAGTATAAAGAAGAAGACGATGCTAAAGTAAAATCTCGTCTTAGAAAGCATCACTATAAAGACCATCTTCGTTTTGAAGAAGATGACCACGAATTGAGATCTCGTCATAGAAGAAAAGGGTTTAGAGAAGATCATGAACACGCAGAAAGATTTCATCATAAATATCTTAACCATAATTTAAATGATAAAGATAAATATTTTGAACATCTAAGAAAAGCTCGTCATAGAAAACACTGGATTCTAAAACGTGAAGCTTCGGTTAGCGGCCAAAATGACCACGAAGAAAATTATTAACGGAAAAATACTTTGTTATTAAAATGCAAGGCATTAACTAAAGATTCTAAAGATAGATCTCGCAATTATATTATGTAATTATTAGTCAAAGTTGTCAAAAATTATTAAATTAGTTTAATCTATTGATTAATAAAATGTTCAAATTTCTGCGCAATTATGTACACTCTTTTTATTCTTTGGGTTCTTATAATATATTATATGCTATATTATTAATTTGCATATGCCATTATCGTTATAAAAAGGAAAAATTAAATGTGTGATAGAAAAAAAACCCCCGTAAATGCATTTCACTCATTATCATCGCAGTGAATTCTAGAATTCACTGCGATGATAATGAGTGAAATGCATTTACAGGTTTTCTTTTTCCATCACTCAAATCATTTAATACCTTATATCACAACGATAATAATATATGCAAATACCAATGAATATTATCCACTTAAGTCATGTCATTTCGATTTTCTGTTTAACATAATTCCCCTTCTTTTTTAAAAATTTATATAGTATAAATAATACTCATTATATCCATATAATAACCAATAAATTTTAATATTTTAATCATGTAATATTTACTAACAACATACAAATATTCTGTTAAAGTCTTTGTTAATGATTTTGTAATCGATGCCTGTCGCATGGTTTCTCACCAACCCCTGTACTTGGTAATGGAAATTCTAATCAACGGTGAACTTTGTAAGGAAATGAATAAAAAGGATCAGATTGATGAAACGAAAAGTGTAACGAACGTATCACGTGATTTTATAGTCGGCCAGAATTATGATAAAGGTTTAGTGTCGGGCAAAATTGTTGAGGTCATGAGAGTTTAGTGAAAGATTTTACAAATTTGTATATCGGTTCTAGAAAAATCTCAAGCGATGGTTAGCTTATAAACACGTTTTTTAGAAAACTTTTTGTGCAACTAGCAACTACCGGTATATATAAAATAAAGACTCGTTTTTTTTTTACAGTATGCAGCATAATAATGATTAATAATAATTAAATTTAATAAACATAGTTACTATGCAGTTATATATTAATTAAGAGATTCAAGTTTTTGTATAGTTAATAATTTGCCAAAAATTTTTTATAATTTTTTTTTTAAAAAAGTAGATAAGATCTAAATAAAATTTTTAAGAATTTTTTATTTTCTTTTAGACTAATATTTTTTTCACTTAGGCAGATTTTCCAGTGCTTTTATTAAATATTTAAATAAGAATAAAATAGTAAATAAGCTATTTTAGTTTGAAATTAATATCCAAAGAACTAGAGACGAATTTATTCGCAACCTAAATCTACTAGAGTGATCAAGACTAGTGTTGTTAACTGGAAGCTACTGGAAGGCAACTAGAACTCCACTGGAAGAAAATTAATAGTACTACTGGAACTTTTACTATTACAAATTTCCACTGGAAGGCTGAGAATCACTACTGGAAGCAAAAATTAACAACACTGATCAAGACTTACCTAGATTTGAATAGTTAAAATGTGGTTAATTGGTATGCTATATTTAATTCACATAGTATACCAAATATTAAGTTTAAAAAAAGCTTGTTCTAAAAAAGAGCAAGTATTAGAATTGGAGTGTAGTTGGTTAGTAAAGCCACAGAAGCAACTGTAAGTATATATAGTTTTGTTTCTTGTATTTGTTGTAAAAGAGGAGGTATGAGATATTGTGTTAATACTAGGTTAAAAGAAATTTTTTAATTTTTTTCATAGTAAAAAAAGTTAGTATAGTATAAAATCTATATGCTATTATAAAGCTAATCAAAAAATTTAAGAAATATTTGTATAATAAGTTGAAATGTATAAGAATAAAAGATTTTAAAAAAGTTTAGAGCTTGAATTGGTAGTATAAAGTAAAGTGAATAGAAGTATAAAGATAAAGATAAAGAGTTAAAAAAGGATATAAAAAAATAGTATATATTTATTATTTAATTAATGCAGAGATATTAAAATTGAAGTTATAAATAATATTATATATTAAAAAATTAATAGTTTAAGCAAAAAAAGAACCCCAGACATCTTTAATATAGATCATATTTAAATTTTGGCTAATTTGGTTTAATTTGCTAAAAACTAAAAATTTATATTTCTTAAATATTTAAAATTTAGTTATTAGAATTGAATAAACTTTTTTTAAAAAGATACAACTCACTAAGAGCTTTTATTTTAAAAAAGTTTATCTAAATTAGACTACTAGTTGCTAAGTTATTTACAAAAAACTATTTTTTTGTTTTTTTTTTAAATTTAGAAGGCTTATATTAACAAGTTTAAATATAATTTATATTATAGATATCTAGAGTTCTGTAAAAAAAAAATTATTAAGACAAGTATATTAGTATAAGATAGTATATAAATAGTTATGAGAAAAGTAGTTAGAAAGTATAAAAATAGAAGAGTGTATAGTATAACCGTAAATATAAGTTAGCAAAATATTAAAAAGTATTTTAATTTTAAAAGATTTTAAGTAATTAAATTTGGAATTAATAAAGTTATATAAAATTTTTTAGTTATTATTGAAGTATAGTTAGAAGGCTTTTTAGTTAATTAGAGTAATAATCTTAAATATAGTGCTATAAAAACCAAATAGCAATAATATATACTTTACAAATAGGTTTGATAAATTATCTAGTAGAGCTTTTAATAAACTATTTTTTTTGTAATAGAATAGAATATTAAAAAGATTATCAAAGTAAGCTTAAACTTTGTAACAAACAAGTTAAATATTAAACGCTTTTAAAATATTAAGATATATATACCAAATAGACTAAAAGCTAAATTTAAAGTATTTAGAAGAGTAAAATAAAAGTAATAAAAGCTTGCTATATTTGAAAATAATTAATTGTAAAATATTAAATATTTTAATAGTAAAGTTATATAGAAGTGTTAAAATAGCAAATAATATTGCTAGTAGTTTAACTTTGTAGAAAAAAGACTAGTTAAGAATTTAAGCAAAGAAGTTTTATATAATATAATTATTATAAACTTAAATCTAAATAATATTTATAATATATTGTTTAGTTTAAATTATTTAACAAACTATTTGTATAGAAAATAAATTAATATTAAGATAAATTAAATAGCAATCTGAGCAAGTTATAAATAAATATTTCTATTGTGAAAAATAGTAAAAATAAAAAAGTTACTAATATTGATAGTAGATAATAGAAGTATACTAAATAGAAGGTAGTAAATAATAGTAAGAAGTAAAAATATCAATATTATATTGCCAGTATATTACAAAAATAGTATTGATTCAGAAAAAAATTTTACAAACTTGACTAATAATAATATTTTTATTGTAGTAAGTTAGAATTTAGAGTTTGTAAATTTTAAAAAAAAGATTAATTTAAAAAACAAATTGATTAATACTAATAAAATTGAAAGTAAGGTAAAATAGTATAGTAAAACTTATTATTAAAGATAGTATTTTCTAAATAATTAAACCAAAGAGACCTTTTCTTTTTAGAAATATATAAAAGTTTAGAAGATAAATATAACTAGTTTAACAAAGTATTATTATTAGATAAGCAAAGTAAAAAATATTTTTATAATAAGTTGTTGTTTAAAGATATTGTATTTAGAGTAGCTAAAAAAAATATATATTTTTTTGATTTTAAGGTGAGACCTTGCTCATATCTTTATTAGATAATTTATATAAGTAATTATATAGAGACTATATAAAGACTTAATTTGTATACAAA